TGACCCAGATCAACTATTTAGGAGTTTTAACACTGAAGAGTATGACAGGGAAGAGATATTCTGCTGTGATCCCCTTTGCTGCAGGGTTCTACTAAGTATCTCTGCCTCTTTGCTGGCAATTGCCTTCTTGGTGGCTGAGGAAAAGGAAGGTGAGAGCACGTGGCAGCTCTCATTGCCCTTGAGACCCAAGATACTCCTGAAGCCATCAAGCAACACGGATCCACTTCCAGCATCCTCTGCAGTCAGTGCTGTGCAACTGCAAGAGCAGGTTGTGCAGTGAGAAGCAGATCTTCCCAAAAAGGCCAGCAAGGAATGAAAACCTTTTACAGCCAAGGCGAGAACTGGCCACATCACCAAATAGCTCTGGCCCAGTTCCACAGAAATCCCATCTGGTCGTTCCTCTGTGCTGCCACAGGCAGTGCCACAGCCCTGCTTCACACTGCACACAAAAGGACTCAGCTCTCAGCTCCTGCCTGAGTGAACAGCTGCCCCTGCTCAAAGTACTTGGACTTGTGCTCGCTACTACAAAATATCTTGCATGCACAAAGGCTTTAAATACACTCTAGACATACAGACTGTAATTTGGAGATTGAGGATCAGGCAGTTGTTCTGGTCAGAGTGCTTACTACTGAAAATACAGCAGCAACGGCATCAGGAGCAAGAAAATGCAGGCTTAATAACTGAAAAAAAAGTAGTAAATCGATGTATTTCCTCTCATTTTGTTGATACAACTTTACAGTTAGGCAACTTTATTACAGTGATGAATATGCAGGCCACAAGTTAGTAGCTCCTTACTTATAAATCGGCCAGCTTAGCCAAACAGTCCCTATTTGCTACTGAATATATTTGATGGCAATAATTTAGGGAAGATGAACTGAACTGTATTGGCAAGCTGTATCCGCTGTGTCTGAAGTTACCAGTGGAGGTCAGATGTCCTTTTTCCATGCAATCCCCTGTTTTCCATCTGTGCACCAGTTCCATGATGTCCTATCAGTCCCAGTGGTTGTGAAGGGGCAAGGGCACATGCACTTCCAAATGTCAGTGTATGCTGTGCACCTCACAGGTTTGCCATTTATTCCCTGCTTCAGCTCTGTCCACCAGAGTTACAGCTGCTATCTTGGCGGGCACAAGCAATAATTTACAATAAACTAATACAGTTCACTCATGAGCCATGCTAACTTCATTGGGTAAATTCTCAAATGCTGGTTTTTAATACCTTCTATATCACAGCTGAACTTTGGAAAAATCAGACAACAGGTGATGCTTCTCCCACCTTGACAGCACACTGAACTGTAGCTTCCCATACAGAACCATAACTTGCCTTACTTTGCTTAAAATTCAATCCAAGTCATGGCTAAGCTGTACTTTTTTTTTTTGTGATAAAAACTATATACTGTAGGCCAAATATAGACTACCTGCACAGAAACCTTGGAGGCTGTAATGTCCAAGGATCTGTACAAATGGTGAAAGTCAAAGTAACAATATAGATGTGAAAGAAAAAACCCTGACTTGTAATAGCTGGGGATTGGGGCAACACCTGGTAAAAAACCCAAACCCACTATGTAACACATACCTATATTCTGGCTGCAGTCATGCCCATAAACAGGGATTTCTGTTCCGTGAGCATACAGGGATGGTTTACAGAGGAAACAAGAGATAGCTGCCAAGCAGATATACTGGTTAAATGCGATCACTGGTGGTAGACCCACCAAACTCGGTAGCACATTCCATTCCCTGGCACTGGGCAAGGCAGGGGTTTTCCAGAGCATGCCTTAGTGCTGCGTCAGAGAGGATCTGACCCTGTGCATTTCATCTCTGATGCATTATGATTTATTTAGAACTCACTTTAGTTCTTCAGCTTCCAGGCTGCAGAGGCAAGGTGCCAGTCTCCAGCAAGAGGGGGAACGAGTATAAATAGAGCAGGCTAAGCTGCCACAGGCAGCTTTTGGTCTGCTTAAGTTTCTTGTTTAGCCTGGAAGCAGAAATCCAACCTGCTGAGGAGATACATCATAGTACAGGCACTACTAACAGGTCTTCTCTCCAGCCAGTAACTATCTTCCATTTCCTGGGTACACAGATACAGCCACTTCCCTTCCCTGAACAAGGACAGCACTACCAGTCATCTGTACTTCCCTCCAGCTCACTTAGTTTTTTGCAAACTCACACCATGCAAACCATCACATATTTTAAAAGACATTAAACCAGCTACTCACGAGGGAAACGCACTCCTGCATTTTCAAAACAACAAGTAAAATGAATCCCAAAATTAAGTACCCAGACGTAATGTCACACATTTAATCTTTTGGAAGCCCCCGGGAGCTTTAAGAAGTGTTTTTCACTAGTTCTTGCTCTAACTTGTCTCACCATCATGTAGGCTCACTAGTTTTCCCTTGAATTGTTTATATAGGGAAAGGACATTTTTGCTGCAAGCCAAGTACATAATAGAAATACCACCAAGAGCCCAGTCCTGCTCTCAAGAGTTCTGTTTTCCCTCACAGATACCTATGCCAAGAGCTTTTTCTTCCATTACTCTGCTTGACTCTTAGAGAAACCATATTCCCATGAATTTCTGTTGCCCAACATACCTTTCAGTGAGTAAATTTTATATACAGCACAAAGCTAGTGGAGGCCATCTCCAAACAGTGCGTTTTAGACTCAAAGCACTAGAATTGATTCTTTGAACTCCACATGCCCAGCTTTTCAAAGCAAGCTGCAGCCGAGACTGCACAGCAGTAGTTCCCCCTATTCCCACCTGCTGGGATGCACCCCAAGAGGGACAACAACATTTAAAATAATTTCAGAATATGCTCTCAGCATTACGCTATGCACATAACCAGATGGGATTACTCGTGTGAAAAAAAAAAAAAAAAAATCAGTCTAAATGTTACACTTGAAAGCAAACCATCAGGTCTTAAGGAAGACAGCTGGATCTCATAAATCTTTACCTTCCATCAAATATTTAGCCTACATGCCTCCAAAGAGCACTTGCAGGCCTACGTGCATCTAACATGCTACCCAACGTGCCATTTGCTTCCCAAGGCAAAGTGAAACCTGGATGCCCACCTGCACCAGCGGTTAGCCCGGCAGTTTTGACAGATGGACAGACCTCACTAGCCCTTGCTCAGGGATCCTGAAATTCTGGGCTCAGCCTTAGCAGCTTCGGTGCTGGTGCACAGCACTGGGAACCCACCTCACCAGGGCATCCCCACGGTTCTGGCAATGCTGAGGCACCTTCCCAGTGCCAAGCCACAGAACAAGATGCCTCCTTCATTGAGGGATGGATTCCTGCTGGTCAAATGTAAGGGCTGCTTTACTGGAAGTAAGCTTTTACTAGTTACAGATATCTCCCCAGTTTGTTACTATTCCTTTCATCCATCCTGGCTCTTGTTAAACCCAAGATACAAGAGACTAAATTTGAAGGCTAGAGCTATCACTGACCTGCTAAAATCATGGACTTCTACAGACACATTGGGTTTATGGTTGATTGCAGTTCTCCTGCTGGCCCCTCTCTGCTACACAGGCATTAATGATTTCTACATTCCACATGCTGTGAGCCTTCTTTACCCACAAGTGCCTGCTCTCTTTACCCTCAGCTGGTTTAAACAATGAGGATAGCCAGGAGTTAGTAAGGACAGTTTTATTTCGCTTGTATTTAGCTGGAATCTGGGAGAAAAAAAACATACTCTATGAGCCTAAAGCTTGTCATCACGTGCTCTTCAAAACAGACCTGACTGACAATACACAGGTGAATTTGTATCCCATTTCCCTCTTACGTTTGTGATCTAGCTATCCCAGTATCATTTCTCTGACACAAGCTGTTACTTGGGGGCGCAATGTTTCTAGATTTTGGGAAGCTGGTGGGACACTAATTTCTTATTATAAATAACTAACACAGTGGTAGCGTAGCAAGGTCCAGTTTGGATCCATCATCACATTCAGACCTTTTAGGCCTGCCTCACCCTCTAAGGATGTGACTTGCTGCAGTAGAGAACTCATCAGTCCCCAGCAAACTGAAGGGACAGGCAGCTTTGGAAAAGGTCTCAGAGCTACTGCCCAGCAGCCCGAGGACATCATGTAGCGCCAGGTCAGTGAGGGACGGCAAACACACGATCTGTCTCTTAGCATGTCGCACCTCAGCGCCACCCTTCTGCTACAGCTACTCACCTCCCCTTTCAATCCAGCTTCCCCTTCTACTTCCCGCAGTCTCCAACTTCCCCACTGCTTCCCCCACCTTAACCTTCAGTATTTGGCCCCTGCCTCTTCCTCCTGCATCTCAATGGTTGGTGGCAGGACCTGGTCAGACATAAGGCCCTGGCCCCTCTCTCTCCGCTGACCAGCCTCTGGTTTTCCTGAGCAATGTCTTCGCCAGACATAGGTGACTCACTGGAATTTGCCAGATACCAATTCCTCATTCTGAAGTCACAAAACAGAGCTGCTTTGCCAATGGCCACACAGGGACTCTTTTTTTTGTTAACCTGGACAAAGCGGACATTTTCCCATCACAACCTGGTTTCAGGTAAAAGTATTTAGCTGTTTCTGAAACTTGCATACACATATAAACTTCAGCTGAAAGCTAATACCAAAGAAGTGACAAATGAAATCATTAGAGTTTACTAATATTAGGAAAGCCCCCACCATGCTTCTGCAAACAGAGGACAGTAACTGGATGTGCCTGTTAAAAAGAACTGGCACCAGCACACACTGGTAAAAATGAGAAAAGAAACAGGTTGGAGACAAGGGGAGTTATAAAGTGAAACTACAGTAACAAAGTTACTCTGTCATGTCTGGTTTTGAAGAAATACTGAATCTGTTAAAAAAAAGAAAAAAAAAAAAAGACACTGTTCTTTGGCTACCTTAAAGTTTTTCACAATGGAGGTAAGTTTTAGTGACTTCTGCTGCAAAATGTGTTAAGTTTTACCCAAGTACTGCACACTGGTCCTGTAAACCTATACAAGTACATTCCTTCTCTAAATCTCTGGATGTTTGAATAATATACTTTGTTCATATTAAGACAACAGTCCATATAATTTTATTTGTAGAATACCAAGTTGCAAACAGACATAGAAACAACAGTACATAGAAACTTGTTATGAAACCAAACTGAAATAATAAAACAGTGCATTTTGCCCAATAGTTTAATTTCAATATGATTTTCAGTAAAAAGCTCACTCCATTAAACCTGAATATTTCAGCATTCACTATAGTTTCTCTAGCGTATTGAAGAATCCTAAGTCACTTTGACAAACATTCTAATTAATATATCCAATAACACAAAGGGTTTCTGTGAGAGTATATAGTAATTTCCACTGCATGAATGCATATGGACAATACTATATATAAAAAAGCCAAACCATTTAACAAGTGTGAACAGATGTGCACTATGATTAAACTGAACACAAACAATTTAAAGCGATTTCTAAAATTACAGGTTGCGCTAACACAAAGGCACATTTTAAATGTAAATTCACATTTCTAGAAGGTTAAAGGTTTGTGCCCAGGCACAATCAAACAACTCTAACTGCACATATCTGAACTTTCAATAGAAAGATCTGGTTTCTATTTCTTTAATCCAGTTTTAATAAGGAAGAAATTAAATTAGAAACAGGAGGGCTCTCCCTCCCATATTTACAGACTGTAAACTATACTGCCTTCTCATCAGAAATTCTAGTTTTCCTGTCAAACTTTGTTAAGCTTCGTAACTATCAGCACCCTCACAGTTTGGTCAAAGGCACCACAGACACACAGCCCCTTTTTGTCAGGGCTCCAGTCTAGGCTAGAAATCGGCTGCGTTGACAGAGTCACATTCTGCAAGAGACTGACAGAACCTGCCACCCCCATCTCAGCTCCTTCAGAATCCTTCTTCGAGCGCTGAGCTGGGTACTCACTGGCAACAAGAGAAGTACAACAAAAACATATGCTTAGGATTTACTGATACAAACACATCATTATCCTCTTTATTTTTCAAAAGAAGGGTTTCCTCTGTTCTATAGATAAGGCAAATAAATGTCTTGCAAATAACAAATAATCATATCCAGCCATATTCACACTGCATACTTAGTAAATATTTCATGAAAGAAAAAATGAGGCAGGAAGTTTTGAATCCTCACATCTCTCCAACAGCCCTTCATTTTTTTAACTGTTCGGCTTTTGCCACCGACAAGAAAATTTAAATCTCAGCTATTCCTCTGAAACTTAATGCACCTACTTCACTGCATGTAGGAGGATTATTTTGCCTTGTGATGTAAGAAGATGTAGACGTAAGAATCCTTAAAAGTTCAGGCTTTCAATAGTCTTCCATTTATCACCTTGTTAATCAAGGATATAAGTAGACCTTGATTATGTTAAGAAAACTGACCAGAGCAAAATTCACCTGTGCTGTTGTCACCTTCTTTTAGGGATTAATTCAAGATTCCAGATCAAGTACTGACACCGAAATCGCCCTTTCTACTGCATTTGTAAGCAATAATTTCAACTAGATATTCTGAGGTTGGAAGAAGGACCCCACTCATCATTTTCAGGGAGGTTCTTTCTTAAGACTTTAAATGGTTTGTTTCTTATTCCCTGTTGCAGGCTGGAGAACAATCACTTACTATTTCCAGAGATGAAGGCTCCCAGCTCCTCCACTCGTCATAAATATATCCCTGTTCTGTGGTAGGTGCCGAACCTGCCATATGGTTGATTTTTGTGCCTAATAAAAAATTAAAAAAAAAAACAAAACAGTGTTGTATAGAAATCAGTTATGGATGAGCTTCACAAGAAAGGACGCAGAATCTTAAAACAACAATGGCTCATATGAAGAGAATCTGCCTGCTGAGGGTGGATACCAGAACATTTGTTCTGGGGTACCATTCCTCCCCCCCCGGCCTTGTGACCTGCGGCCACAGGAGCGGCCGGTGCCCGCACAACAAAAGCCAAGCCAGGCCTCCAGCGCATCCTGCTCTTCCGCAGGGATACAGCAGCAGCCCCACCAAGGTTTCCACTCACTAGTGCTTCAGCTCCTTCAGGGCTGGCTACGTGAGCAAGGTTGAAGACAGGTAAGGTGGCCGAGTAAGCATGGCTTCTAGAACTGCTCTAGAACTGCAGGATTCCCAGGCTCTCTGGTGACATGGTCACCACAATGTTAATTTCACAGACTGACATCCCTTAAAATCATTACTGGAAGGAAATATACTACAAGCACTGTGCAAACACAACAAACAATCTACAAATTTAAATCTCAGCCAGGGCATGGCAAGCTCACATAGCAATAGAAATCTCTCAGGGAAAAACCCCAGCACACACACTCTGACTTATTGTGTATCTGTCTGCAAATGTCCAAAAGGAAAACCTGAAATGCAGCAAATGAAAAGTAAGAAATTCCATTTTTGCATTTCAATACAAACACCAATTCGGTAAATATTTTTGTGTTATCTACCCAAAGTACTTCTAACACCTGTTTTGAATGGTGGTATGGAAAATATTAATTTAAAGGTATTAAGTTGAAACTCAGCTTTCTCTAATTTAGGCAGCCTTGGAGAACTTCACCATAAAAGTTCCTTTTCTCTAGTTACCATCAGATTTTGTTCACCAAAAAAAATACTGTTCTATTAAGAACTTAAGCTAATCAACACAGTGGTCACAGATGGAAGACAAAAAGGTTATAAGAGTTCTCCATATTTAACAGCCTGCAGGCCACTAAGTCTCTCCTATATATCCTTTCACTCACTCTCAATATTCTAATCCAAGAATGTTTGTTTCTGAAGAAAAATAATGATTTCTGTGTCTCATAAGAGGTCTGGTGACTGCAGGATGAGAAGTGTTTGCAGAGAGCTCACTTGATTTTGGGATATATTTAAGATTCATATCTGCATGCTCAAGACAATTTAATATGGCCTCCGATAAACGTGACTCCCAGACTAGGAGCACAGCTGAGCACACAGAGGTGCAGCTGCAACAGAACCAAAGACCAGAGAAGCCCAAATATCCGGTTTTAAAAGGGAGGAAACCCAGGTGAGTGCTGGCAGCTGGATGGCCAGGAGCCAGGACTTGTGCCCCAGTAACATGGGCATCTACTTGCCTATCAAAGACAATTGTTTTAGACCTGTAGTACACTGATCAGTGTACATTCAAAAAGTTTGTCTATTGTTAAGATTTTCTCTGTCTCCCCGATACCTTCTCTGAAACAGAAGCAAAACCTTTGGTTGGATGCTGAGTCCTCATATCGAAAACATGAAATTTTCCCTCAAGTGATGTGGCCACTAGCTTGTTCATATTTACATCTTTTCTGTCAAACTCCACACTGCAAACCTGGAAAAATAAAAAAAATACATTCAGCCCTGAAATTTAGCCACTGATTAAAAAAAAAAAAAAAAAAGGGGGGGAGCTTTTCAATTTGTCAATATGCATTAATGATTCTTACTTTTTACAACGACAACATCACCAATTTGGGAATAACAAAATCATCTGAAAACATGACTCTGCTGAAAAATACCCCATGCTATCCAGACCAAGAATTTGAGGGGTACAATCTGCTGAACTTAAAGATTCCTTGGTACAATCTCAGCAGAAATGTCTTCTGGATCAATTTCGGATAGACAAAATCCTGTTAATTTTTCCATCCCACATAGGAGCCAGAATGAAAAATACTTTTATGGTTTCCTTACCCCGTTCTTAATGTTGGTCTCCCATCGTAGAGACATGGTTTTTAAGTCAAACAATTTAATGTCCCCATTGTCATATCCAGCACACACCACACGTTCCTCTTGATTGTAAGCATTGCCTGGACACAGAGGAAGAATTAATTGGAATATAGAAACCCCCTTTAGTCTGTAACTTTCAGACCTCCTAAGCGTGCAATTCCAATTTATATTTATGGCAGAAAAATATTACTACTGGAATATTAAGTTTTAATGAACCTGGTGGTTTTCATACCTAAAAGGGTATAGAAATATCTATATAGCTTCAAAATTAGCTGTTTCATTTAAAAATATGAACAAAATTCATCTTCCCCCTGCCAAGTACTGCCTAAACCGCAGACTAAAGTACTGCACACTGTTTTTGTCAACCTACACAAATACATTCCTTCTCTTAAATCTTCATCTGCTATGAACACCACCAGAGCAGAAAGCAGTTGGGCTGTTCCTTAACCAGACTCTCAAGCATGGAGCATTAGCAGGACAAGAAGACTTTTCTGTAGACAGAGACTTGCAGGGAGGCTCCGGTGTTACTTTGGCCATCAGTGGATAGATGCTGAAAGCCTGCCTCCAAAAATTCTCAGCTGACAGGATCAAGAAAGCACATCCTTGTCTGGAAGAAGTTAGTTCAAGATGAACTTGGCCTTGGCTCAAGCTTCAGTAACTCCACAGAAAACTGAAAAAAATATGAGGATGCTTTTTCCTCCGTTCACCAAAGCAGAAGACAATGATCAATAGTGATGAGCATTACAGCTGCACCTTCTTACTATCAATGTTACTATAATCCATGCACTTATTAGCAGTTTGTAAAACTTACTCCCTGACTCTAGAGGCATAAAAGGAGCTAATCCAGAGCTACCAGCCTGTGTAGGACACAAGCAGCTTGTTCCCTCTGAAAGAAAAATGCAGAGCACACATCGAGCATCACTGTTGTCTTTAATTAGCCCTTAGCTTCAAGGATCTTCTCTTCAATTAATGTCTTAATGGTTGATACTTGGAACTACACCACAAGAGCAACTGGTTCCTTGTGCACTGAAACATTTACACTCCTTCAGGACCACGCAGCTGGAGATACTGTTTTTACATTCCTAGGCACAGAAATAAAGCTTGCACAGCTTATCTGTGAAATCAAATCATTTAGGTTGGAAAAAACCTTTTAAGATCATTGAGCCCAACTACAAATTATGACCAAAGGTGTAAAGACAATGAGTCCAAAACCCAATTTATCACAAAATCGGCTTCTTTTGAAAAAAACATTAAAAACACATAAATTTGACAAATTTGAAAAGCAAAGCCTGCTACTTATGCATCCATACAAGACAAACTATTTCATAACATCCTGAAATGATAATTATGAAAGCACAGTCATATTAGAGGTAGGAAGTTATAAATTACCAAATGCTACTGTCCAGCAGTCTCTTTTGCTCTCCCCTTGTACAGGTTCCATATTAGCAACAGGAGTATCTTTCTGTCTCGGGTCCCACACCTTCACAGTTCCTGTGAAAGGAAGACAATGGATTTTGTATTATGGGCACACTGTCACGTGACATTCATTTTCCCAAGGAAGGCCTTTGCTTTTCACCCTGATCATTCAAAAGACTGTGAGCATCTCTTTCAATTCCAGACAGCCAGACTGCATTTAGTGGATAGAAAAACAAAACAAAACAAAAAACTACCAACAAAACCACCAAACCAAAAATAAAAGAAGTAGTATTTAAGGGTGCATTTTCTCTAGCTGATACTTTGCATTTGTTCTGCTTTGTATTCTTTCTGTCCCATGCTCAGTAAAAACAGTATCTTTTGCTTGTCTGTAGCTTCTAAAAGAACTAGAGAAAATTTGTCCCAAGCAAGATTCAAAAGACAGCATATGAAGAACTAGTTGCAACAGACTTGTAACTAGTTCAGATGGCAGACTGCGCCTTGCCATCAAAGCTTGCAGGCTACTTTCTCCAAGTAACTGAAAAGACTTGCAGATTTCTCTAACTCACCATCTCGACTGCCAGTCACAATTTCTGGTGCACCTTCCCCAATTCCTAAGCCACCTACACCATCTATACTGTTTATGATTTCCTTATGACCTTTGACAGAATATACTGGTATTTCAGGAGCTTCTAAATTCCTAGGCAAGAAAGAAAAAGAACAGATAACATGGCATTTTTCTTGACACTCAGGATTTGTATAAAAATGAGAGGAAACTTGAGCACAGATTATATAAATGCAGATTAGCAGTGGGAACAAAATATAGATATTGCCATTAAGAACCATGAGTCTTTGTGGGATTCCTTCTTTGGCTACTGCTTTAGACTAGGCTGGAAGTTTTTGCTCAGTTCTGGACCTCCCTGTTTGTAAAGGCAGTTGTGGGATTCACCACAGCAACTCTCAAGAACCAATTTTTATGTTGGGCTCAAAATGAATCATGTTACGGATCAAAATAGCTTTACTTTCAGTAAGTATATACAACTTTATTCACTGATCCCCACCTAGCTCTGACTGCTGCTCTTCAACTTCAAATGAAAGCTGCATTTCACTGTGGGTTTCACGGTTCTTTCTCACTGACTCTCATCCTTTGAGAATCCTTCAGAATTTTATTTTAAATTTCAACTAGTGACTAATCCATGTCATTGTTTTTATTTAAAAAAAATAAAATCATTCCTTGGCAAGAGAAGAATAATTATTATATTATTATAGTAATAGATATATTAATAACAACCACCCCCTTTCTGATCCTATAACTTTACTTGTGTAATTAATCTGTGTATTACCGGTAAATTGATGGCCAAATCATTCAGAGACCTGAAAAAACATTTGAAACTTCAAGATTAAAAATACATCTTTAATCTAGAAATCAAATTTAGATCAAACACCACTTCTTGTTTGTACTCGCGCATCCATTCAAAAGCCTCGTTTCAGGACGAGGACCTAGAAGAACTTTAACAGAACTTTTTGTGGCTGCACACAGAAGATGAAAGTGAGACAGCATTGAATTAAATCATCATGTTGTTTTTACAAAGCAGGCATGTTCCAGTACAGTAGCCAGCGAAGCTTACGGCTGGGTCCCGACCACATGCAGCACAGGGAGCACCTTCTACAAAAGCCAGCCACATACAGAAACATGAAACATCGGTTCAACAGACACGTACAACATCAAATAAGAAAACTTCAAGAGAATACGTGTGCTTACCATATATTCAGGTTTCCACCAAAGTCTCCTGTAGCTAAATATCTCTGCTGCAGAGATGTAGCACCAAAAGTTCCACATTTTATAGGTTTAGCCTTTTCAATCTTTTAAAGAAAGGATACGTTCTGTGTCAGCACATGGGAAAAAGCAACACAACCGCAGACTCCGGCACTCTCGAGAGTCCACAGGTGGCAGATTGAGTGAAACGTACACAGGATATTCGTCGTAAAATACAATTAAAATGCCATCAAAGGCAAATTACACTTAGTATTTGGTTTCTTTGAGCACATAAAAGCAGGGATTTCAGTTTAATGATCTTAAACCTCTCCCCTCAGCTGGCTAACGATACTCGGGAGACTGCTGCCTCTGCTGACGTGCAACGCAGAGGGAAGCCCAGCTCTGCCCCGAGCTCCGCCGGGGGAGGGAGAATTAACTCTTTATCCCTTCCGCAGGTCCGCGGCAGCACCTCGGCCCTACACAACTACATTAACAGTGAAGTTTATTTGCTTGCGGCCCTGCGGATCTTCACGCACCCGAGGCACTGTTACCCCCGAAAATTAACGAATCCTCAAAGCTCAGTCTGCGTTAAACAAAACCAAACCCCATCAACCCAAACACAACCGGAGCCCAGAGTCTCTGCCTTTCTAATTCCTAAACAGATGATATATAAGCAAATTAAGGCAGAAATTCTAATTTCAAATGTTAAGGAGAATACTAAGCCAAGACAATGTTTTTCAGACGATCCTTAAATTTAGGCTGTATGAGGACTTCCGTAATCCATTTTTAAATTTGCGATTTATAAATGTACTTTTCATTCTCTTACGTCCTATTTAAAATAGTATTACCAAGTGGTATAATCTCTGTATTTCACCTCTGCCTTATTGAAATTGTTAAGCCGCGCACTTTGGGCACTTTTATATCCTTCCCTGTAAGGCGAACCGTGACAACGAGCCAGACCAACGCGAGGGAACGCGGCGACACCAGTTACGGGATTACCGACCGGAACGGCCACACCAGGCCAAATACCGCGGTTTTCTTCTCATTTTCTTCCCGCCGCCGAGTCCCGCTGGCTCCGGACAAACACCGGGGTGCGTGTCGTCCCCCACCCCCGCCTTCCCGAGGGGGCTGCGATCGCCGGGCAAGGCCTAGCGGGCCTCGGCTTGCACCAGGCCTCGGTTTGTGTCGTGTCCCCCCCGCCCCGGGTCTCCCGCCCCGCCGCCGGCGCTCACCTCCCTCAGCA